TAGGGAAAGTAGGTCCCGCTGGTGTTGTTGGATCTGAAGAAGTCCACAAAGACTTTATGTTGGAGCAAAACTTTATTGGCCTTTAAGGTGCCACAAAATGCCCATTAGTTTTCCCCGCAACACGGAATAAATAAAGAACTTATGTGGCTACTTCTTTGCAGCTACTAGCAGTGAGAACTGGGCTTTCCTATGTACCATCCTGCTGTGGTTAACCATAAGGATGCCTTTTCCTTCTTCCTTGGGAAGCAGCGTGCTGCAGGCATGTATGACTTGGGGATTCCCTTCATAGGTAAGCAAGAATATTCTCGGTATTTATATTGAGGATCAAAGCCCATTTATCCAACTGTGTTTGAAACGGCTTTCCTCACGTTGCCAACAGCAGAGGGTGTTAGATACTTGCTCTGCAGTCTGGCACAGATCTGCTGTGGAAATAGGTTCATCCCACCCTGAAAGAGTTGATGTCACAGTTTGAAAAGTTTTCTTTTGGCTTTCCTCTGTCCACACTTAAAAAATAAATAAATGGGGACACCTAGAAGGTAATTCAGAATGATTTACTGTTACTTCTCTGATGCTATTCATGAAAACAGATGCATATTGAGTAATATGGTTTGAAAGGTTAGCCAGCTACTGTATCATATTCCTGTGTTGATTTTTGGTTCATTTCAACTGGGCGAAGAGTTGTGCTTTACATGGTTTAGGTGCAACTTGATCAGTGGCTGTCGCTGTAAAGTTCTGCCCAGCAGTTTCCTTACAAGCGGCCACACGCATGGATGGTGGCACGTAGCAGCTGTTTCATAATTGATTCATACCGTGCTCATCTCTTAATATGTACTGTGAGATCCAGTAATGACTTGAGCGTGTACAACAGAGTCCGTCACAGATCCTTACAAGTAGAATTTTTCACTTTGAGTGCATTGTGTTTCAGTGGCGTCACGTTCATGCACTTCAGTTGCGAGTCCTCAAATGCTGAGCAGAATAAATGACAAAGCCGTGTTGCTGGTGATTGTGATCCAGTGATAGGATGTACACTTCAGTTTTTGCAGGGCTATTTAAACACGTGTCCAGTGTCAAAACTCTTTTTTCAGAACTGACAAGTGCTGACATTGTTTTTATGCTTGTTTCTTTTATATTTATTTAGCTATTTATTCCCTGCAATTTTTCTCCCCAGTGAGGACCCAAAGGACCTTACAATATCATTTCTGCCATCTCTATGTTACCATCACAGCAACAACCCTATGTAGGTTAGACTGAGAGAGAGTAACTGGTCCAGGGTCACCCTGCGAGAAGGGAGGGCCTCTGACACGAGTATGTTTGGTATGTTATAAGGAAGTTTAGTCTCATGAAAAGACTTCAGCTAGCTAGTGTTTGAGTAGACCTTGGATTGACAGGTCAAGGATGTGTCGCCCAGCATCATATGCACTTTTTGATCTGATCCATTCAGGTTCTTTTTATATTCTTCTTATTTTTTCCTCCTTTCCTTTGAACAGCAAATTACCATGCCACTTTCACACATTGTTTATGAAATGCTCCAATTCAGTAGAAACTGCAGCCTTTACTTAGTATGTGTTATCCTGCCCTTCCTCATTCTTCCTTTTTATCCTCACAACAACCCTGTGAGGTAGGTTAGACTGAGAAAGTGACTGTCCCAAAGTCACTCATCAGGCTTCCATGGCAGAGTGGGGGTTTGAACCTAGATTCCTTAGAATCCTTCACCACATCAGCTCTCCATGTGGTATTGGGGAGAGTGCAGTTTGGTTAAACTTAAAACCTTATTTTGGGCTCCTGGAACTCAATTTGTAGTTCTTTATTATTCTGTCTTCAGTTCTTGGACAGTTAAAGTAACTGGGAGGTTTTTCTTTTTTTGAATCATGAAATTATTACAAACCTGGACCAACACAATAAGATTTGTGAGAAATTCTGTTTTATTCAGGTGCTGTGCATGCTTACACTAAGTTCAATGTGTCTTAAGGTAAAGGTTTCCCTTGCTTGAAAGCCAGTCGAATTTGACTCTAGGGGGCGGTGTGTCGCGCAGTGCGTGTAAGGAAGCTTTCCAGCAACACCAGCCACCAGGACTTTTCCAGCCACACCAGCACACCAGCACTCACTGCAGAGTAAGTTCTGTATAGTACCACACCAACAAAGTCCAGTGGTAAACTATTTACAGATTTATTTACAATATATACAATCCACTGACAAACTGCTCCGCCTAACACCATATCCAAAAGAGAGAATGTACAGAGCAGTACTTGTCCACTTATATACAACAATTGTCCAATCAGCTACGTGCTGAGTCATTGTCACTGACCTCATCCCTTATCAGGTGTCAACCAGTCAGAACCTGTTATCAGCAGCTTGCCTGCTGTCACTTAGATCATCATGATCTGACTGCTGGATATTAACATCCAACACGGTGCTCATTTCTCTTTCCAAGCCAAAGTGCCAGTGCTGTCCGAAGACGTCTCCGTGGTCATGTGGCCGGCATGACTAGACGCCAAGGCGCACGGAACGCTGTTACTTTCCCACCAAAGTGGTACCTATTTATCTACTTGCTGTTTTCTTGCTTTCGAACTGCTAGGTTGGCAGGACCTGGGACCAGAGTCAGGAGCTCACTCCGTCATGTGGCACTGGGGTCTCGAACTGCTGAACTACTGACCTTCCGGTCTGCAGTTCAGTGTCTTAACCACAGAGCCACCATGGCCCCTCAGTGTGTCTTACTTCTCAGTAAACTCCTGGATATTGATTTAATTCTGGCAGTTCTCCTCCATGTGGTGGTGTAACTCAAAGAGGAGATGGAAACCAATGGCAACTCTTTCAGCATATTCAGTTACATGGAGTAAATCATCTATAGAAATCAGTGTCCAGAAATTTATTTATTTTAGTCTGATGGAGGGCTTACATCTACTGTTGAACTGTTACGTTGGCATTGTGCACTGAAGTTCATACATTAAAAAACAAGAGGGAAGGGCTTGGTAAATTATCACAGTGCTGAGGTATTGAGACACATAAGTGGGGCAGAAATGCCACTTTAAAGGTTGTAATAATGGCATGAAGAACCCTTACACATTGAAGCCATAATACCCGTTTTTAAACTCTGTCAGTAGTATATAGTTAGTATGTTGCATTAAATCAAGTTTTAAAACTCTTAGATGGTAGGTTTCAATACAGCACAGCTGTCTGGAGGTCGTCCCCCCCCAACCTTGGGCTGTGGTTCAACAGGGATTGTGGTGCGGAATTTTATTGCTACAGTTCAGGTGGCAACTTTTCCTCCCCCCCCAAAAAAATCCCACCTTGAGATCAAGGCTCAAGGTGTATCCTGTTAAGGCAGGCCGAGTTCAGATTTGTGTGTTTGGCTTGTCGTGTGGGGGCCTTGCAGGGGAAACCCACTAAAACCAGTGAGCTTAGACTGAAGTGTGACTGTGCATAACATTGCACTGACAGACTTGCTCGAAGTGCCTCTGCTGTGTTTGTTTCCCCAGTATGAAAACCCCTGGACAGTCCCGAACTTACTTTCGATGGCAAGGATTGGCCTGGCACCAGTTTTGGGCTACTTGATTGTTGAAGAAGATTTCAATATTGCGTTGGGTGTATTTGCCCTGGCTGGCATCACCGATTTGGTAAGTCTTATGGCACAATTCTGGAATGCGTGTCACTTTTCGCGCAGTTTTATCCTAGAGCTGCCTCTTGAGCAGGGGTCATTTCGTAGAAAAAGAGCTAGGGGGACTCATTAGCATAACTCATTAGCATATGCCACACCCCCTGACATCACCGGAAGTGTGTCCTCCCCACAGCCGGCGGCGACCTCCAGCGGGCACCAGCAGGGAGCTCCAGGCCCCCCCCTCCCGCACCTCACCCGGGGGGATGGCGTCCCCCCGCGTCCCCCCCCCAAATGACCCCTGCTCTTGAGTCATTTTCTCATTATGCTTCAGTCCCATAAAGGACCCTGTGACTTTAACACTTGTGTGAAAACCTTACATATTTGCCCTTTCTGAGAGAATCAGGGGAATGCACTTTTAGAGTTTCCCTTTAAAACAGGGATGTACGAAATCCCTGTGAACAGCATGCAATTTGTAGGTCCTAATGCCGCTTGTCATTCATGTAAGCACTGTTGCATATGCATTTGCACCGCTACAATTTGCTAACATCTGGCTGGATTCCCAGGGTGTCCTGTGCTCATTATTACTGTGTAAATTGAGCTGTTAGGAGAAGAGTGTGCGCAATGCCATGTTTTGTAATAAATCGAACAACTAGTTTTCCGTTACGAGCCAGGATCCATGGAATGGTGCAACTCATTGCTTGTGCCCAAGAAAGGGGGGGGAGGCTTGTGTTTCTTGATGCCACATTCAGGGCCTCTGTTGAAATTGAGCAGGTTTATCCAGAAACTGTGAGATAAGACTGGGTCTGCTGACCCTTGGGAATGCCTTTGGCAGTGCCTAAAACAACACTTTGGATCCTGGCCAAGGTCTTAACAGAGCATTCCTTTATATATTTATTTATAAATTCAACTTGTAGACTGGCCTCCCCTGTGCACAGGGCTCAGGGCGGTGAACAACAGTCCCAACAGATACATTGACAATCAAGTTAAAAACAGTTAAAACACCAAACGATACAAAACTATTTCAGATTAGGGCCCCGGTCACACAGGCTGGATACCGTGGGGGGGAGGCGTGGCTAATTGCCCCGGTGCATTTGGATGCACGATTATGCGATCAGACGCGCCGGGGGCACACAACGGGTCCTTTCCTCCGGGGTAAACGAGGGACCGGAGGGGAATGCTGCGCGCTGGCGCGATCACACCACGGGTGTCTGGAGGCAACCCGTGGCAAATGTTTACAAGTACCTTGGAGGTACTAGTTTTTTAAGGCGCATTGTTGGTGGTAAGCCATTGGTGCGCTCCACTTCCCAGATGTTGGGGTGTGATCGCGCCCGGATAATCCGCCCACCATCTGTGCCTCTCCCGCGGCAACTTTGCCGTGTGACCAGGGCCTAGGTTTTAAATAGCCCAATTTGTATCCTTACCCTGTTTTCTGGTTAACTTACATTTTCAGTTGGATGGCTTTATTGCACGGAACTGGGTCAGCCAAAAATCTGTACTGGGGAGCGCCTTGGACCCTCTGGCTGATAAAGTACTTATTAGTGTCCTATACATTAGCATGACTTACGCGAATCTTATTCCAGGTAAGAAAATAGCCATCCTTCAATTTTTTGTGGTTATTGAATGACTGAAACAGAAGGAATTTTCTAAAGTTGTAGTTTTTAGGTGACTTGAACTCAGGGCTTAGGCTCATCAGTCAAGCATGGTGTGGTGTAATGATTAGACTGCTGATTTTTGCTCTGAGAGACCTACATTCAAAGCCTTACTTAGCCATGGAAGTTCATGGTGAGGTCTGGCCAGTCATGTTCTCTCTGCCTAAACTACCTCATAGGGTTATTGTGAGGTTACAATCAGGAATGAATCACCAAGCGCACCGCAGTGAACTCCTTGAAGGAGGGGTAGAATGAAAATTAAATAGCCTAGCAAAATTCACATGGGGGAAAAATGTAGTTAGTACATTATTTTAATTACATTCATTACTGCATTCATTTTCTTATCTAAGAATATTTAACTGGATCTTTGAATAGTTGTGAAAAGACCTAGAAATAGTAAATGATAATTGGCCTTTGTCAGAACAAGTTACAAGTTTCACCTCAGCATGATTGCTGGCTGAATTGCTTTCTATAACAGCATGTGGACATCAGAATTGACCTGGAGACAATCACACAGGTTAATAAGGAAGCTAGTGGTATGAGCACATGGCATGTTTACGTGGAAGCAGTTACAGAAATGGCTTGTGCCTGGAAATGCCGCCGGTACATCAACTTGAAAGCTCCAGTTAGTTGTCCATTTATCCTTTCATGTCCGTGTGTCTTTTGACACACTTTCCCATTCATAGTCTGATTCTAGGAAGCACTTTTATAGCGGCCACTGAATATTAAGCAATGGCTTTTTGTCCTTTGCTGCTGACTGTTATACACAGTGTTTTAATAAGTGATCATCAGCCTGTTGATAGCATGTGCAGTACCAATAATTTAGACTGAATGGAAAAGACCAAGTTGTTTGTATGTGTTCTCTTTATATGCTGATGAATCTAGATGCTGTGCCTGCAGGTATATCCTATGTTTTAATTGTTTTTCTGCATGTGTACAGAGATCTACTGAGATAAATTCTGTGTGTGTTTTCCCCCAGTTCCTCTTACTTCTATGATCGTTGTAAGGGACATTGCGTTAATTGCTGCTGTTTTTTATGTACGGTACAGAACGCTTCCTCCACCAGTAAGTAACAGCTGTTTATTTGAGTCTTAAAAACAGAGTTGTAATTTTATGTACAATGACAGGATTGGGAGGGGGAGGCAGCAGTGAGGGGCAAATAATGGGTAAATCTTTGTTCAGATGCAATACAGCCCCAAACCTATGCTGTGGGAATCCAGAGGTGTCTCTGGTTTATTGCTCTAGTAGGGAAACAGGAGGATCTATCCTGCAAGTGGTGCTGCTGCTCACAGTTCTTTGGCTCTGACTCCAGAGTGTGCTCTGAGAGCTCCCAGCTATACTAACGAGTTCTTGGGAGCCAGGCAAATCAAATCCCTATTTTGAAAAGATAGGCCAAGAGTTGTACAATAATAGAATCGCCTGCTTTTAAACTATCTCTTTTGTGTTCAGACATCCCTTTAGTGCTGTTATTATCTTGTGGTTGAGCTTGCATTTTAACTTGCTTTAATAGTATTACATATCATAATGGTAAATATGAAGAATTAGTGTTACCTCCCTAAATGCCTCAGTAGTTTTTCTTCTTTCCATGCTTATTAAAGGTTTTTTTTTCCTTTTCACAGAGAACGCTTAGTAGATATTTCAATCCGTGTTATGCCACTGCTCAGTTAAAGCCGACATTTATTAGCAAGGTAAGAATAACTGTACGTCTTGCTGTTTGTTCGGCATCCGATCCAAGTCATAGCCTTTTTGGGTGGTGAAAACGGACCTCTCCAACCCATTCCGTGCTGGAGGATGTGTGGTGTGTGTGTTCCTGGTCTTACAGGATGGATCATCTTCCTCTTCTTTCATGGATGTGAGTGGTAGTTGAGACTTCATACTCCTATGATGGTAAATCCCTTTATGCCACGATTATCTTGAAATGAACACGATTCTGCTAGTTCAAGACCTAAATTGAAAGATTAAGGCCTTGAACTTACAGTATCTTATTCCTACCAAGAGACAGGAGCTGAGACAGAATCTACAGATTTGAGAGCACGGAGTTGAAACAGTCTAGATAGATAATAGTGAAGTGCTTGAAATTCCTGTTGATTTCAGTGGACAAAAGATTAAGCACAAGCATGCATCTTATTGACATTGATAAGATATAAAAATGTTTAATGTTAATATCACGTGACATTGATTTTTCATTTAATTTTTTATCAGATGAACACAGTAGTACAGCTAATCTTGGTGGCAGCTTCGTTAGCAGCTCCAGTTTTCAATTATGTGGACAGTGTATATCTTCAAACGTTATGGTATGTAAACATTAATTTTGTTTGTAATACTGTTGATTTCTGAGAGAGGCAGGAACCTGGGCAGTACATAGATACAGATTTGTATTGTTGCTGAAATCAGGTTAACTCATCTAATTAATGGATATGTTACAGCTCACTCTGTGATTGAATTAAACCAAAACATAAAGTGTGAAACTCAGGCTGATGCATATTTACCTGGAAATAAGTTCCAGTGAGCTGAATGGAAAATAAGCTTAATGCTAATGGAATTATATCCATATGTAATGAGTGTAATAGAGAAACTGGTATGGTGTAACAGCTGAGCTTTGCATACACAAAAAATGTTCTTGATTCCAATTTAGGGGTGTATAAGAAAAAAAAATGGCTTTTTCCCAAATTTGGGTCAATCGGATCTGAAAAATATCAGTATTTCCCGATATTCCCGAATCCCAATATTGGTATGGTATTGGGATTCGGTAAATATTTGAGAAACCCAAATTTATTCAGCTCCATTATACCCTGTGGGGATAAATTACTGATAAGGTATTTTTCAGGTATTTATTCGGCTCGGCTTATACCAAGCGCACACCCCTATTCTAATTGCCTGTGCTGTGAACTCACCAGAAGGCAGTGGGCAAGCCATGATCTGCAGTCCCGGTCTGTAATGTGGAAGTAATAATAGTGACCATCCTTACAGGCTTATTGCTGTAAGTACTACCCACAGCCTAAAGTACTCTGTGAATACTACTTATAATTTCTAGAAAGGCCACAGAGCATATGTTTTTGGTGGGTGGAGAAAATCCCAGGTCCTGCCCCTGACCTCTCTAGTTCAAGAGGATCCTAGAGAACAGGCTGGGGAAGACCGAGCTGCTGCCAGAGCTGTGTGTGACCAAACTCAGTGGGCAACACCAGACCAGACCACACGGTGGTCTTACATGACCGAGCTTTGGGGGGTTGCGTGTTCTCTCACCCTCCCTTACCATGCTCCAGTTTTTGTCCCACGCTTCCTCTTTCACAGGAAATCATATTTTCCACTTCCTTTTCAAAACCAAAGTTAGAGACCATGGTTTGAAAGGGTTTTCAGTCTGGGTGTGGAAGGTCAGTGCAAGCCGTAGTTTGGTTGAATTGGCAACCTGTGATACAGGAAGAGATCTGAAGCGGGTTGCAGTTTGGCATTGCATAAACTAGCCTAATATAGGTCCGTTTCATGGTGTCAAGGTTGACCCTGCCTTGGTGCAGTTTGGCATTGCATAAACTAGCCTAATACAGTTCCGTTTCATGGTGTCAGGGTTGACCCTGCCTTGGTGCAGTTTGGCATTGCATAAACTAGCCTAATACAGGTCCGTTTCATGGTGTCAAGGTTGACCCTGCCTTGGTGCAGTTTGGCATTGCATAAACTAGCCTAATACAGGTCCGTTTCATGGTGTCAAGGTTGACCCTGCCTTGGTGCAGTTTGGCATTGCATAAACTAGCCTAATATAGTTCCGTTTCATGGTGTCAAGGTTGACCCTGCCTTGGTGCAGTAACGGAACCAAACTGTGGCCCGAGTAGGTTTAGGTCACTCCCCAGCAACTTGCATGGAAATGAAGCAGAAAAGCTTTATTTGAAGAAATTCCAGAAGAGCTATTAAAAACAAGGCATATATAATCAGTGTTTATGTACTAGAAACGATTATGGAAGCAGAATGTTAATATATCTTGTTTGTTATATATTGCTTCATACCAATAAAATTTTTAAATAAAAAAACAAAAACAAGGCATATAGGTCAGTGGAGTCACAATGCATACAAAATAACAAAAGACTAATTGACTATACTACTTACACTAACGGCAGCACAGCTGGTAGTTGGAGCTCAAGGATGGAATTCCACAGCTTACACAGAATATCTTCAGGGAACAAGGGCGGTGGATGGTGGAAAGGGGATAAGAAGGGAATGTTCTCTCTCTACCATAGTCTATAATATAGGTATCGCCAGCCGTAACCTTCTTACCTTACCAATCAATGGCAGGGCGGTCTCCGTGGTACTTTCTAGGGTGAAAGTGAGTCCCCCCCCCCAATTCACAGCTGAACTGTATGACACAATTAAAAGACTTTTGAAATGACCTTGGCGAGTAACGGTCAGTCTGAGGGGGGTTTGCCGACATCTTCAAGTACCCAGAGTGCCAGAAGATGAGAGTTTTAGGCTGGATTTTTCCTCTAAGACGGCTTCTGTCTTGACACTGGGGTTCATAATTTGCCTTAGGTTAGGTCTGGCTCGAGCTGCCAGTGAGCTCCATTTTCTTAGTCGGCATCAGCTGCCACGGCAGAAACGTATTTTAAAGCTTGCCTTTGGAAACCCCTTGCTATGAGAGAGCAGTGGTGCTTTAGGCTTGGCTTTCCCTCCGTCATTATTGCCTCAGAAACTAATACATTTTGTCTCCTCCTTGAAGGTGCATCACGGCTTTCACAACGGCAATGTCTGCATACAGTTACTATCATTATGGCCGAAAGACAGTTCAGGTGCTAAACAACAAATGAAGTCTTGCGGCGTGGCTGCTCGTGACCCATTGGGCTTACCTTGGAATGGTGTTGCCTGCGGCACATCTGGACAGTGGATAAAAGGACGTTCTTTTTGAATAATTTTGTCTCAGTGTCCTCACAACAGAGCTAATATGAAGTTAATATGAAGTTTCGATCATGTAAATACGCAGAATTTTCAATGTAATTTTTCAGTTTGTTACAAATAAAATATAATTTTGTACGTTAGTGTACTTAAAACACATGTGGAGGTGAGTGCCTGATGTCATGTGTTTTGCAGATGGGTTTTCAGACGCCTGCAGTTCATTTCGGAGGGTTTGAAGTAGTTGCTCTGCTCCCTTTGGTAGGTCTGAATTGAAACTAGTCTGTCATGGAATACTTGGCACAAGCAGAGCCCAGCTGAATTGGAATGGGGTAAATAGTAGCATTCCTTCTACTAACTGAGGCATCTTCCATCACATGTATGTGAACTAGGGCTGCCAAGCCGTGGCGGGGGATCCATGCGTCTTCACAGGATCCCTGCCGCGGGGGGACAGCGATACGCGTTGCACCGCTGTCGCCAGGATGTGACGCTACACGTCGCTTTGGCAACGGGGCTGTTTGGAGTCCCGTTGCCAGAGCGACACGTAGAGTCACATCCTGGCAATGGCGGTGCAACGCGTATCGCTGTCCCCCCGCGGCAGGGATCCTGTGAAGACGCACGGATCCCCCGCCGCGGCTTGGCAGCCCTAATCTGAACTGAATGTTCCCTGGTTAGCAG